CCCCCCCCCACACACTTATTCCCCCCGCAAATTATTACACCCCCTGCTGACATATCACACATCCCCTCCACTTATTACTGATATCGATATCAAAGACTATTTATAGGCCTGGCATTTGACAGGCATCCATGCTGCTCCATATTGAGAGGGATTGATGCTGATACCTTTCAATGCCCACCAAGAAGAAAAGCAAGGTGAGAGCAAAAGCGAGAGATGCCTTTCGAGACTGGGAGTTATCGATGGCTATCAGCAGGGAATCAGTATCATGAGGGTGCGGAATCAAAACACGGGCAGGGTGCAGTTTCTAAAAACATGTACTTTGCAGAAGATATTTATAATACCAGGCTGCGTCTGCTTTAGTGGAAACAAACCCCTTCCCTTCCTTACAGGGAGAGAAGAAAGAACAGTTCCAGAGTGAGTGGATGGGTGGCCCCTGTATTCTGCTTGTCCCTTTCCACCTCTTTCACCTGTACTAAACAACAGTGACTTTCCATCTTTGGTCAGTGAATGACTTCTGCTTCAGAAGCAACTAAGCAAGCTGGTCTAATGACTGCCCAACTCACTGTACGGGAGTCACATCTCCACTGGAAAAATGGGTATGGATTCTCGCATCAAAAAGGGTTGATATCCCCAAATTCTGGATTATATCTGCTAGGAGACCAAAGGCTTCCTTGCATACCAGATCAATGGAGGCTACACAGTATATCAGTCACCTTCCCTTTCCTTTTTTCTGAAGTCATCTGAATTCACACTGGTACAAAATGTGTCAAAACCTGACGAGGTGCATGGCGTTAGCAAGGTGGCTTATATAGCTAAAAGGCAAAGTTTACTATGATGATCTTATTATTAACTTTACATTAAATCATGCTGTAATGTTAAAGTACCAGACTCAAACTCTCCTTGACAAATTTCAGGTAGGCAGGTCTCAGGACTTCAGTGAGACGATAGGCTTAAGCATACACAAGTGGTGTTTCTTACAAGCATAGGGCCTAAGTATGGTTTTAGATTAATCCTTAACTCACTGACTCATCCATTGCTTTACGTTAGAGTATAGCAGAAAGCAGGATTTGAGTATTACTTAGCATGTGTATTCATGCACAACCCATAGGTGAGGAAAGACCAGTCTTTCTTTACTGATGATTATTAATGGCACTGCTCATTGATAGTGAATTTTAATCCATTTTCTCTCCTTACTTTTTCAGAGAGTTATTTTCTCTCTCTCTGTTTCCTTCAGACTGTTTAATTCAGAAAGACTAAAAATTAATTTATGTTCGATACTAGCTACATTTTACACTTAAGTATTAATGACATCTAAACTTTTTAATCTTTTTTTTTTCAGTTCTATTTTGACAACAGGAAATAGTTTGCATTTCCTCTGCTTCCGAGGATCCCCCTTCCTAAAGGGTGAAGGGCTGGAGGGGCAAAAAAAGAACAGCTGGGATGATACAGGTTTTCCAGAATTCAAGAGCAGATTCTTTATCTCTTGTTAAAAAGGCTTTTTATACAAGTGCAACTGAAAAATCACTTTCAGATAAACCTGGATTTACATTTGTTCCTCTCACAGAGGTACACCTTGAGACGATGTTTGGCTTTAAAAACTCAAGGACGGTGGCAAAAGACTTTCGTCACAAATTGACAGATTGGAAACTTGAAGAGCTCTAAATTTCAAAAGCCTACATCAGAAGTCATGGGCAAAAAAGATGTTCTGATGTAGTGATGATGATCTAAGCAATAAACGATCATCAGCAAAGTACAATGAACCAAGAAACCCATTAGGCAGAATATCACTCCTCTGCCAGAGATAACTGAACTACTGCCTCCAAAATTTCCTGAAAGTCTATCGTAAAAGGTAGAGGGCTCCCCAAAGCAGGCTACCGTACAATTTTTAAGAGAAACAACATTTCTAAAAAATCTAGTACTGCAAATGAGAGCCAGGGAAAATTACCTATTTTACCAGACAGAGAAGATGACACCTCTGCAGGACCTCTGAGGACTCCTTATTGTCTCAAAAGAGTGGCAGCCGAAAGCTGTTATCTTTGTTACTGCACACCAGAGATTTCTGCAGAGTCTTACAGGGAATAATGTTCCTTCTGCAAAAGAGCTAGTGTTACCAGTGAGAACATGGGTAACTCCTCAGACGCATCATTTACATGTGGAAATTAATCTTGCAGTTCACTTACAGCAATTGGAATCTTCTCTCAGCCTCACTGAGAGCACCTGGAAAATTTCATTCGATTTAATGTACACAGATGCTAATTCTGCTGAAGCTCTAAGAGGAGATCCCCTCTTCTTGAAGAGCCAGCATCAATTGGGAGAATAGCCAAAAGACACTTGACGATGTTACTGAACACAGATTGTGAAGACTCTGAAGAACTTCCCAGAAAGTCCTCTCTTTTTCAAAGACTAGAAACAGGGTAGCAATCAGAAAACATCAACTGTTTTCCCTTAGATGTGAAATTCTACAGTTTCAACATGTATATACTTATACAGTTTTTTTTGTCAAATGTCTTCTACTTACATACTTTGCTTATTCTTATATTTTGCTTGTATCTATTGAATCAAAAAAAAAAATCTGAATAGCTAGTTTTCAGTCTCTAAGCCTTAAAAAACATGGGCTAAGTGATGAGAGACTGTAATTCCATAAATTCTTGGCAAGCCACCTTTTTGTTGTTTCAATTTCTCCTTGGGTGACAGCATTTTACCGTTGGGATTACGGTTTATTTGTATTGTGGCCATGCCTAGAGGTCACAGTTAAGACAGCTCTGTTCTAAGTCATGTGAATAGATAAAAAATATTTGAGTTGGAGTGAAGTTACAACCATCATTTCATCAGTGTGTCGTGAAAGGAGGAGACCCAGAAGTAGAAGGAACCAGAAACGTTTACAGGTCTGATTCTCTAGTACTAGTATTCCCTTGATTTCAGTATAGTTCCTCCTTATTGACATCAGAGAAAGGATCAGATGCGGAGAAAGGTCAGTAATAAAGCTGATGTTGGACTCTAAGGTTTTTGGGTCAGGTCCTAGTAAGAGCAGAACTGTGTCCTGTATGTTTTGCCTGAGGTTAGTGATAGTTTGAGAAAGAGAATCCAGGAGATGTCACTGCAGTGCTCCCCATAACCAAGGGGAAAGCTTAACGCCAACATAAAAAGAAGGAAAATACTTTTCTATAATATGTTGCTTTGGGCCAGCATAGTCTCCCTGAAATTTTCTTGTGCCATGTCTCCAGTTCCGGATCGCCCATTCCTATGCTTTACATACACAGATAGATTCCCGCTGCCAAACCCACTAAAACCTGTTTTTCGGGGGGGGGGAAGGGGGCAGGTTATACCTACAAGTGCAACTGAGCAGAAACTGTAGGTGCTTTCATTCCTTGAAAATCCTTTGCTTGTGAAAGGACTGCAGGATTAAGTGATCGAAGGCAGAACGCATTCTAGTTATATCCTACACTCTCCCCTTTTACTGTGCTGTTGGATTATTTTATTCCTGTGCATAAACAAGAACCACAATGAAATTCCTATGCAAGAAGCTATTGTTTCCATTCATTATGTGCCCCATCACATAATTTTGGAGCCAAGTTTACCTGCAGCTTTCAACAGTCTACTAAAAACAATAGTGGGCCCTGCAGCAATGAGGTGGCTGCTAATTGCCATGGGTGTTTAGCATTGATGGGGTTCTCTGTTGGCAACCGTTCTAACCCAATTATGTTTCTCAAGTACAACTGAAAAGCATTGTAGGGAGCACCATGTAAATGGCACTGAATGCACTGGGAGCAAGTGACCTCCCAGAAAGATGGACAGGTACCAGCTAAAGCCCCTTATGATTGATTTTCCATGGCTAAAATAGCAACTACAGACATCTGGGTTTGCCCGGTTTATAGAAACACCAGTAAATGCAAGCTATTGTCTTAGTTACAAGAAGAGGGAGGTTTCTTAGAACGACATAGAAATATGATGTTCGGTTATCAATGTGTGATCTTTTGCTTTTCTTTGAGCAGACATTTACATTTCAGGAACTAGAAAATTAGTTTATAGTCATCAGAAAAACACACTGAGTCTTGTGTGCGCATGTGTATATGTGCATGTATGTGAGCTTAGGACTCAGGCTTGTTTTAATGCAGGCCTGCCATTTAAGTGAGAGATGATTCTTAGATGTAGGCACAGATACATCAAATGGGTCAAAGCTAGCATGGTTATTCGAGTGAGTGACATGTGGCTAGTAAAAAGCCTCACAGACTCAGGACTGGTGGAAAAGATAAGAGTCAGCTGAGCATCTTACAATGTTTCCACTAGGCAGCAGACTAATGTGCTTTCTAAATCATCCTATAATAGAAAGTGCAGTGTTGCAGTTCTTTGCTGTTGCACGTTGTAGAATACCATTCTTACGACTTAAGTCCCAAGACAGGTGCCCTTCCTACTTGTTTCCTTGCTGCTAGGAAGGTCAAAAGCTTTTGCTCTGTTAAATTACGTTGTATTCCTGAGAGCGTTACACCAAACTCATACCAGACTGTCCATGACGTGACATATGGGGCAATCAAATGAGCAGTTTCAGAGGCAGAGCTAACGGGCCATGCTAGAGATACTGTGTCATCCTTTGTCTGTGATTGTCTCCTGTTGATAAAGGAGACTTTTTTTTTTTTTTAAGGAAAAAAAAAAGATAATATTTTTCAGTCTGCAAAACTAAACAATGAATGGAAGAAATGTGTATGTTAATTTATGCAGCTTTCTTTTATACAGAATGCCAGTGTACACTGCATATCAAGCTTAATATTTTTGTTACAAGAACCTCACAAAGGAGACTGAATCACAGAAGGTGAACTTTGTGCTCTGAAAGCACAGACATTCTCATTGCAGCTTAATGACAGAGTAATCGCTGTTAGCTCTTCTTGGCGTAGTATTCATGCCCTGTCATGAGACGCTCTAATACCATCCAGAAAGGATTGGACCAGTGGTATTTTCTCATGAAAGCCAATTCACCACCATGAATTTGCTTTGTTTTTCAGCATTTTGTTACACTAGCATTTTGAATGGCACTGGCTGTGCTTTTCAGAGACCCAAAAATGGGGGTACGTTTACACTTCAAGAGCAGGGACGGCAGGGAAGGGCAGATCTGTGCCAAGTAACACCCCAGCTGCTCGCTCTGGGCCCGCAGCGGCCGGAAGGCCAGGGCACGGACTGGTTTACCTATCGGCGCCGACACCAGCTCTCCGGCGCTGCGTCCAGGCTCGTTACCTTAGAGCTAGCTCCTGTCTGCCAGCGCTCTCCCCCTAGCGAAGACACCCGGTTTTCCCCAGGCTCTGGCGATAATTCACTGATCAGTCCTCTCTGCAGTGTGTTTTCGTACGCGGCCCGTAACAGCTAGTCAGAACGGCCCAGCTTCTCTTTTTCTTACAACTCCAGAGTAGGCGTCAGATGAGACAACTGCTGCACCAAACCCGGCCTGCTTTCCTCTGAAATAAACCTGTTTTCGGCAACAGAAAGCTCGCAACGAGAGAGGGAGGCGCGTTCCTGTCAGCGCCACTCCCGGGGCGCTGCGGGCCGGG